TGCTAGCACTATGCTCTACCAGTCGAGTTACAGTAAGCTTTCACTTTGGAAAAGTAAAAATTCACTTTGGCGCACGAGACACTTTGATAGCACTTAACTAGCCCAGTTCATTCAATATTAATCAAACTGTTGTGCATTAAGTCAAATAAAAAGTGTTAGTTTGGACTTTTTTTTTTAGGTTTTAAAGGATGCTAAATGTTCCCAGTCCACTGCTCATCCTTAACTGAAATAATTTGTTGCACCAGTCTGCTCCACCAAAGCTGAGAGATGACATTATACAAATCTCCACGGCACATCTGCACCGGATAATTATCTTTTTAAAATCTGCCACCGTTTCACAACTGACTGCAATATCTTCCTCCTCCTGCTGGATTCAAAATGCTCTGAGATTCCCTATGCAATTTGAAAGCTAGTGAGAGAAAGATTGAAATTTGACGGGAGATGAATTTAGATGGAAAAGGGACAGATGCAGCACACACACCTGCAGATTATCAGGACCGTCTTGGTGGAAAATGCTGCATACCATGATAGATAGTCATCAGTCTGAGTCTGACACAATTGAATTCCTGCAGGTAGTTTATTATTGTTCTTACATTTTTGGATGATGCTTACAAAAACAGGTTTGAGTCATATTTCACTCCCAAATATTTAAAAAGTAGAATTTCGAAAAGAAATCAATGTAGAAAATGAAACCTTTTAGGGCCTTTCAATTTAATGTCCTTTTTTGTTTTGAGCGTATGTCACTCAATGTCATTCTCTTTGTAGTTTTTTATAATTCCCATTACTGTCAACAGAAAAAAAAGTGTGAGAAATATGAATGGGATATTTTTATGTTCTTATAATATCAAACATATACTTTTTATTCTGATTCTTTCTTCTCTTATTCAACCCATTCTTTTTCTTTATTCTCCCTCTCATGTTTGCAAGATATTCAATATTTGATGCATTTCAGCAAAGGAAAAGATGGACATTTTGTAAACGCGTGCTTGCAGACACAACTCCCATAAAAAGAGAGATTATATGAAGAGTTCAAGAGTGACTGCACAAGGCGTCTCTCTCTCCGTTTTGGACATTTTCCACTGTTTGGACTAGAAATACGTTTTTGAGTCCGTGAACACCTCAGGAAACACAGCTAACAGGAAGACGGAGAGATGTGATGTGACCTGAACAAACCAAAATAAATAATCCCACAAAATCTCCATACAAATATACACATCAAATCTCTCCATTTGGGTTTTGACTTTTACATCCGTTTGTTTTCATTTATTTTGAATTCCTCTGACATATCCGGTGGGATTGTTCCTCTCCTCTGAAAAAGCAGTCGCCGTCCTGTCACGTACATTCCTGAAACTCGTTGCTTAAACATTTTCACTTTGTGCTCAGTGCTATATGATTAACGGTCATTTGACAAAATTAGACCTAAATGTTCATTTGCTTTAACTTATCTTTACATCAATAAGCCAGATCAGCCAGGCATTCCCAATTGACTGGGAATTAGCTTCATGACACATTTCCTGCCTGGTTTTCCTGTTGGCATGGTGATGAGTGAGTTTATATTGTATGTTTCCTGTGTTTGGTGGTTGTGTTTATTAAACTGAAGTGATTGAGTGGTTGCACATGAAGCCGCACACAGCTTAACAATCTAATAAGGCAGCATCAAAGCCTTTAATGGAAAACCTCTTTGTCAAAAGCTCATCATATAATGTCAAATCAGTTAACTAATAACTTGCATGTCTCTGTTTCCGTTTGAGGTTCTTCAGTAGGACCTTGCATGGCCAGGAACCGGAGAGCATGCAGTCCGACTTCCTTACCATCGTACACTATAGAGCAAGATTGGGGTAAGCACAATTACCCTAGGTTGCTTCAAGAAATCTGCCTTTGCAATTTATGAAAATGTCATGTTATCTATTTAATAGATTAAATAGTAGCTACTATAAAATTATAGATTCTGACAGAGCAAGTGTATAAAGGTTAAGGCCCGTTCACTTCAGGATAATAGCGATAAAGATTTCATTTGAAAAATTGCCCTAAGTTTAAAACAACCGCACTCTGAGTGCACACCACGGAAATAACGATGATGGCGATAATAACGAAATGCCATCGCTGGAATCGCTGATGAACGATAAAAACATGGAAAGCAAATCACAATTCACCCTGCTTTAAAGTGGCAGACGACAAAACTGTAGCGTGTGCTTATGTTACGACCCTTCTTTGGCTCGTTCCCATCTAGGGAATTTTAGAAGGGGAACACAAAACCGGTTCAATGAAACCTCTCTATGGACCACTTAATGTGTTGAGAAAACACGAGAGACACTCAGAGATATAATGAAAAATAATTTAATAATAAATAAGTTGGTTAACATAATATGTGAAAAAGGGCAAAAGGAAAAAGGGAAACAGGATTTGTGCCAAATAAACGAAAGTAACATAAACAATACTAACTAGACCATCTCCAATCTAAACCTAGACTGAAACAAAAAGAACAAAGAAAAAGTCTTCAACGTCCTAGACGCCGTGTCTAAACTACACTAACTAATAACAAAAATACAGGGGGTGGCACAAATCTCTAACCTAGTGAATATAGACACACAGAAAAAAACCTAATTGTGCAAAATGTATGTCACGTGACATTCTTACCTATTCCCTTTTCTCCTTCCCAACTAATCCAGCCTTGCAAAGCTGCTTAATAGACTCAAAATCTCACACATGTGAAGTTTCAGGGAAAACTCAAAAGGTAAGCATAACATGACAAAGTAAAGAAAACATTTAACAGAACTAAATCAACTGGAGAGAAAACAAAAAAAAAACAAAAACATCTCAACACAAGACCAAAGTCTCTCAAAGCAAACACAAAAATCTCTCTCTCTTCCCGCAGTTAGCACGCGTCTTAAGTAGGGCTTCTCCAGGTGTCGCGCATCGGGCTGATGAAGATCCCGCCTCCCAGGCAAAACCCGCTCATTACGCTGATTGACAGGTGTTATAGCCAATCAGCGACGACCTGTGAAAGTGAAAGTAAGGAAGAAAGACAAAAGAAAAACACAAACCTCGAAGGAAAACAATCTAACCGTCCCTAAGGACGTAACAGCTTATAATAAACAGATGCCAATTGTTCTTATAGTTATCGCCCGTTCACACCAACTATGACAATAATAAACAACAACAACAAGAATAATAATTATAAAATATTAATAATATTTTTATATAGCTTTCTGTCAGTTATTTGAATTTGTTTTTCATGAATTCCTTTCACTTTTCATGACACTGAAGAAGGTAACAGCATTTTCTATTTGATAACTTAATTTATTAATCTATTTGTTACACTTAAATAAATAAATTCTTAGAAATAATAAAATTGTAGCAGCAAACAAAAGTGTACGGCCAAATTTCATGTTGCGTTTTAATTTAAACGGACTTTTTATTTCAATTATTTCCATGCTATTCAGTAAAGAACAAACATGTATTATTATTTAAATGGGTTTTCTCACATGCTGTGTTTAAAAATTGATGCAGATCATGTGATCATAAATGGCAAAATTGCAGTTACCATCATAACCTCACTAACGGTACTTCAGATGCACAGTTTTGTGTGCAACAACTCATTGAGTCACGATTCTACAGAGTTCTTCAAGGGCTCGAAATGCTGTTTGGAATTTGCTCAGGATGTGAACAGGTGCGGGTTTGGATTTCTAGCTTTCTGAGAGTGGTTTGTCGCCATCTGCCGGTGTGCTTGAGGTTATACATTTCATTGAAGGGGGGAAAAGGGAGCTTGTACTGAGCTTATGAGTTGTATAATTTATGATCCCACCATGATGTTAACGTTTAGGATCACAATGTATTTTAGGTCTTTGCATGTTTCTGCACTCTTAGAAAAAAGGGTTCTATAGACCATTTCACAAGATGTAAATAACACTGGTCCAGAAGCACTTCCTGTTTCAGTTTGTAACTGTTTTCTTTATTTCACATGTAAAGAAAACATCTTAAAGATGTTTGTTTAACTTTTTGATTCAGTTTTAAATGTTCTGTTGGTTGTATTTTATCCCAGCTTTTATGTAGTGTTAAAAAACTGAAACAGGAAGTGCTTCTGGACCAGTGTTGTTTACATCTTGTGAAATGGTCTATATATTTAGCATAGGGTTCTTTACTCGACTGCAAAGGACCTTTTATGCAAAAAAAATGATGATAATGACAAGAAAGAACCCTTTTGGGTTCATTCATATATTACATTACTCTGCAACATTTTACAGTTGTAATTAAATTGTTTATTATTGTTAATTGTATATTGTTTATTAAACTGTTGTAGTAACTTAATATCACATTTTAATCATGCTGATTTTAAGGATTTAAGGATAAAAACTGAAATGGCACTCTTTGTGTGACATTGATTAATTACATTTTTTAACCCCCATATCTTCAATTTTGTGATCATTCATGCATTGCATTTTAGGGGATCCAAATATGTAGCGCTTTAGAACCTTTTAAGGTTCTATATAGAACCTTTTCAGGTTCTATATAGAACCTTTTCTTCTAAGAGTGTGATGTTCTTTTTCTAATTCTTATATGTCAGTGTACCATTTATAAGATTTAATTTTGCATTTCTTTTTTTTTTCTTTTTCTTTTTTTTTTTTTTTGCATTTTTTAAAATAGTTATGCATTTAATTAATTCACCATGGAGGGTATAGGCTACAGAATATCATTACCTGTCAATCTGACATACAGAGTTGTAAACGTTTTGCCATAGTTTATTTTTATTTTTCATATGTTTTTATTTTCTCAATCATTATACAGAGGTATACCATTCAATTCTAGGCTGCATGACATTGCGCTATTTAGTGTTTCTGGATTTATAATTGCAATACAAAAATGTATGTACATGAATTATTCAGGAAATCAAATGTTAAATTACACTATAGTCTTGGCTGTATAAACTGGATTAGGAAAATGGCTTCAGACAAATTTTAACCTCCAGTTTACAAAGTAAAAAAATTAAATCATGAATTGAGTTCTACAAATCATGAAAAGTTTTATTTATTCATTCACAGAGTACTTTTAAAAACAAAATCACTACTAAAAAAATAGTTACGATCATTTTAAAATCCACAGGTAGAATTAATGATAATACAATGCTGATAACTTTTGAACAGTAGCAAATTGTCCGGGAATTGGGAAAATTTCACATGATGACAAGCATTGCGGCAATACAGTGTAAGCTTTACCATAAGAAAAATCCATATTTCTTTATTTCAAAATGTTGTATGACATACTAATACAACTTGCTCATAATTTCTTGAAAACAGAAAGAAAGTGATTTAAATCATACATTGTTTTTACTGTATCTCATATTTTTTACAGTATCAATACTAAACACAAATTATTATTTTTTTACATTTATGCTTTTTTCAGAAGCATTTATCCAAAGTAGCTTAAAGATCATACATAAAGATATATAAAAAATATATAATTTCATACATTCTCTGAAGCCAATATTACTGTGTTGCTAGCACTATGCTCTACAGTTGAGCTACAGACCATGATTGTTGTGGATTCTTGAGAAATTGCGTCATTGCTAAAAACTTAAATATTAAATGCATAAAATAACTCTTAAATTCAGTATTCTTAAATGATTAATGATTTATATGTGAAAGAAGCATTGATGTTTGTTAAGTAACATCATGTTAAGAAAATTTAAAATTTTCCTAAATCTTTTTGAACTAATCAGCCTTTTATTATGTTCAGGACATCTCCTGTCCGTCAAGGGAAGCACTTTCATCCTTTTGATAAGATGTTTCCTGTTTGCTCTGTGACTGAAGAACTAATAGCTTTATTATTAACTTTCATCATTTTCTGGGCAGTTTGCATTCGCTTCTCTCTGTCCTCCATAATGTGGCGCTCTTGTTTAAAGCAAACTGTCTCCTTTAGCAATCTTTTCCAGAGTAAGAGATTCTTGTTTCATTTTCTCGAGTCCAACAACTCGATCCTCAAAGCCAGGACTTTTATTCTCTTCCTCGGTTTTGATCAGGATTTCGAAATATTCGGCTGCGGAGAGAGATTTTGGCTTCAGTGCAATTTCATCCAGTCTTCTCAGGCAATCAGAGGACAGTTTGATCAACTTCCTTAGTTTGTCCTCAATTCCACGGAGTTGCTCTTCAAGTGCATCAAGTATTTCCTTAGTGTCCATAAACTTTCCTTTTGCCTTCATGAAGTTGTCTTTCAGCTCTTTAATAGTTTTTTTCTCTATTTTTGTTTCATAATTCCACATGAAATTTTCCCTAGAATGAGCAGAGTAATGGCAGTTTTCAGGGCAGATAATGCAGTGGCCAGCCTCCATCACAGCACAAGCTTGCACTGGATCTTCTGCAGGGAGGTAACAGTTGGAGTGACATGTGAAGAAGCAGGTGTTGCAATTCATGGTAAAACAGTTTACAGGGGTTCTGATTGCTTTCATCACCTCTACATCTTGCTCAAAATCCTCATTTTGTGATATATTCTCACTCTCATTTTGCAAAATTTGTTTGAATTTTTTTATCTCACTCATTTTAGAGAGACCTGCAGTTATTTGAGGGGTCAGACTCTTCATGGCTTTCTCGAGGCGCTCTCGTTCCTCCAAGACCTTTATAGTCATTGTCAGATCTTTACTTTCAATGGTCTCCAGTGTCTTGAAAAAAGCCTTCATCTGTTTAAAGGTTTTGTCCCAGACAATCTCGGTCAGGTTATCATCTTCTTCATCGTCGTCATCTGAATCATTGTCAGTGGTTGTAGTTTCTTTTTGTTTTTTGTCTGCATACACAGCTGAATTGTTGAAGCTGAAATGGGTGGGTTGTCCCTTTTTATTCTTTTGACAGGGCAGATCTGCTGCTTTGATGGCTTTTAGAACTGGGATATATTTACCATCTGCAAATGTCACCAAAATAATGATGTTCTCTGCAATGTCTTTGCCAAAAATGGACAGAATTGAGTCAAAGATGTACCTCTGAGTGGCACTCAGGCGGGCAAGAGAGGCCTGGACAACAAAGCAGACGGCATCAATGTGATCGACTCCCAAAGGGTTACATAGAAAGCTTTTGAGCTGCTCTGTAATCAGTTTATCATGTGCCATTCCTCTTGTATCCCCAAATCCGGGTGTATCCACGATTGTGAGGGAATAGGGAATTTGAAAGCCAGGCTGATTGTACAGCTCAAAAGATGAGACATTATATGTCTGACTCTCAGCCTGTGAGCGATTGGTCACTTCATTGATTAGTTTGAAGCGATATGAATCCTGGCACTTTACGCCCAGTATGTAATTGACCATCACATTAACCAGTGTGGTTTTTCCTGCACCCGTTGATCCCAAAAGAAGGATAACTTTGTTTTTCACATCCTCAACCTTTCTACCGAAGACATACTGATTAAAACTAATACTCTCTGCCATTTTTTTGTGTAGAGTCAGTGTATATATTGATGGATTTCCCTTTTTTATTCGTGAAGATTGATTCAAGAACGACCCACTACCATCCTTAATTGATTGTTTCCCCTTAAAGCTGGCTGAAAACACCGTTTCAGGGCTGGCTAGACTCTCTCCATCATTTCCACACTTTGCAAAAACTCGGATTGCGTAATCTGTGTCTTCTTTCAGTCCTTGAAGAGTGCACTCCCTGTTTGTAGATTTCACAGATTTCCATGGCTTTTCACTTTCCTGATCCTTGCTGCTTTCTCTGAATTCCAACACGTATCCAGTGACCAGAACATCTTCACCCACAGATGTAGGAACATCCCAGACTACATTTGCAGACTCAGATTCCACTCGTTTCACTATAGGTGCTTCAGGTGGAGCACATGGACGAGTCTTGAAGAATGATGTTGTGTCACTAGTCAGACTTACTCCTGGGCGACACACTGCCTTACAGTTGAAACGATATTCTTTATGTGGTTGTAACTGCTTGACAGTGACTTGATCAGAAACCCCATCAGTAAACACCTCTGTCCATTCAGGGCTCTGCGCAGACTGATATGAAATGCAGTACGAGTCCACATAACTTACACCGCGGTCTGGTGGTTTGATTTGCAGAAGTATGCTGTCATGCTCCGCACTCAAGACGACTGGTTTTGGGGGTTTTGAGGGGAGCTCGTACTGTGAGCTTGTGAGTCTCCCCCTTTCAAAAACATGAATCGAAGAGGCAGTGATCAGTTCATCTGGGATTGATGCAATGCAGAATTCAATGTTCTCTCTTCCTTTGTTTGCTTCTTTGAAATCTAAGAAGGCTTGAATGTTTTCCCTGGTCAGTGAAGTTACATTTCCTGAAGAAAACCATTTCTCTGTCTTTTTTGAGGAGCCTTGATCATAACTGACTTGCTCTCCATTGTTACATGATTGTGTTTTCAGGTAATTCTCCAAGTCTGAAAGGTACAGATCCTTTTCATTTAAGGAGGAAAGTGCAAAAGCTATCACATAGTTATTGGATGCTTTCAAGACAACCTTGTCCAAGTCATTGCTGGATGCAAGAACAGGGACTTCTTTCATGATTTCGAGGTAAGATCTAACGACATTCATCTCTCGCTCTCGCTCATTGAGATAATTGTTTACCAGAGCACCTTGAAACGGGGATCTTTCTTTGTCATTTAGAGCATCAACAAGCTCTTGTTCTTCTTTTCCTCCACCCCTTATGGATGGAAGAAGCCTGCAGAGACATTTTTGAAAAACTATTTTGTACTCTGAGCAGAGGTCCTTCAATTTTCTGATTTTAGTTTTGATTTCAGGGAATTGAATGGCGACATTGTCCCTCATCAGGTCTTGACATTGAATGTCACAATTATCCAGTTCATCCATGATCCGTTGGGCACGTCGTACTAAACTTACACTGATCTCCCTGACTAACTGAGCAGCTGTTGAATCTAGATTTTTCAGAGGGTAAAGCCACACGGTCATTGGCACAGCATTCTCTCCATGTTCCCCCAACAGTTTTGGCAGCTCTGAGTACACCTTGATGGCATCTACATAGGAAACTGGATTGTTTTCCAGCGCAAAATCTCCATGAAAAGTGCAGCTGAATTTGTCAATTTTCTCCTTTTCTGATTCATTCATTTTCAAAGATGCTTTACCTTCAACTGATATTAAAGGTATCTTTTTGATTGATGCTTGGAGGTTTCCTTGAATCTCTTGATGATTTTCATCAGATGAAACTTCACGGTCAAAAATAAAGAACGCTTGAGCCCCATACAATAGAGCCGTAACAACATGTGTGGCCGAGCCCTCCTGAAATACATTGCAATGCTTCACGTTCCCTGCTCCAAGATGCTCCATAGTTAACTGCTCAAAACGTGCCGTTGTCTGATACTGTAAAGTGACTCGAGATTGATGTTTGGACTTCTTCTTGTCATTTAAATAGCTAGCTGAGCCTTTCACACTAACTAATCCGCACAGAAAGCTGGCTTCAAGAGATGCAGAAACATTCAAAGCTTCTACTTTGTCTTCACTTGAATCTGAGGCAATGATTTTGAAGTCAGTGTTTGGCTGTGGCCGTACATTGATATTCTTCTGCAGCATCTCAGCATCCCAAAGAGTTATTCCTTGGGAAAATTGTATATATTAATAACTAGTTACCCCAAAGGTAAATCTTAAAATCGAACAAAGTAATAAATTATACAATTTAGTTTGTTTGTGTGCTTTTTATTACCTGGAATGAGGACATCTCTTCGGCAGTCATAAAGCATTCCCAACTGAAAAGGTCGGCCAAGACAAGCCAGTTCAATTGTTTCATAGTCAGACATCTTCCTAGTGAAAAAGTATTGGATTATATATTTTTTAAATTGTTAAATAAAAAGATCTACATTATATGACTTAAAATAATATTGCATTAACAACAAAACAGCATTCTTTGGGCCATCTTCAAATATGGGTAAAATTATTTTGAGGGTAAAAAGTTGCTGGCAGCTTTAATAAATCTGTAACTAATGATTTTTTTTTCAGTCGATTAACTTATTTTTAATAACAAAGATAAAATAAAATATGTATATTGTAATTATAAAATGACATTTAATTTAATTTATTTTATTAATTGTGTCATGAAATAAGATTTTGGTGATCCAACGCCTATCCCAACCTGTTCAGAATGCTTTTTGTGGCTAACATTTAATCATATAATCTAACAATTATTTTTCCAGTTAATCTATTGTTTATTTTCTGAGTATGTCTATGTATGAACCTGAGGGTATCTGAACAATTTGGGAACAGTGCTGCTTACTGGTCGAGAAATCTAGAAAAAAAATGCTTCCATCATAACAGTTTATTTATTTTTTAATTTAACCTTTATTTAACCAGATTATCTCCTTGAGATATAAAACCTCTTTTCCAAGAGAGACCTGGCCAAAATTACAGTGTATTGACAGCGCACAAGCACAATAACAAATATTAACAACAAACACACGTACAACAACATAGACTAACAACATTAAACTATTTAAAAATACACTATATACATGCTATGGATTATAAAGAACTAATTATTGATAATTACATATTAAAAACAGTGACAGTAATTTATAGCATCTATTTCCAAAGATTTCATGTAGTGTTTAAATTGACCAAAACAAATGAGATCTCGCAACTTCAAATCCAACTGCAATGTGTTCCATATATTCCTTGGATTCCTATGTCCGACCATATTGTTTCTCAGGCATTGTCTTGATGTAGCCTGGGTTTCCCCATGCTGCCTTGCGCAAAGCGCGAATTTATTCCCGCTTCTAGGCAGCCTGGATACCATGAACCAGATTTTAACCTCAGCGAGGGGACCAATCACAGAAAGGGGAGGGAGGAGCAACATAGACATCATATAGAGCTTGACGCCCTATTGGCCGCTGGACTCAAGAAATGCGGCCTGCTATCTTTAACCGGTCATACTCCTATTTGCGTTGCATTGCAGCAGTAGATGCCTGAGTACTGTGCAGCATATTCCTGCTCAAATTGGCAGACCATCGCTCAGGGATTACTTTTCACAAGTAAGATTAAAGATTTAACATTACCATACTATTGGTTGTATTTTATGAATAAAATATTCCATGTGTTCTGTATCATAGCTACATGACCTTTTGCAGCAAAAAAAAAAACTGCGTGAAAATAAGTTCGGTATTCAGTGAGATGAATAATTAAATGCGCTGACAGCTCATTGCACCTGCCAAACAGATTATACCGAGCAGAGCAGGTGACCGGTTTAAGATGGCGGCCCCACGGCTCATCCTTGACAATAGCAGTAGTGGTCGATAGGGCGTCTAGCTCTATATGATGTCTATGAGCAGCAAGACGTCTATGCGACACACCAAAGCAGTTTGTTTATAGCTATGGATCCAACAGACGTGAAGTTACCTTTCGATGCAGCCTTAGATATTGTTCTAAGTAGTTTAGAACGCAAGTTTATTTTAAAAAAAAATTAGCAACTTTTGGCGTTAAAGGAGCTGTTTGTAAGATTGTGGCCAAAACTGGTACTGCAATCAGTTTCAAATTACTGTAGCGCGATGTATCCCCTCCCCCTGCCCCCTGACTTCAGGTTGCCAGATAGGCTGCAGGATCCAACTTTTTTTATCCCTCAAGTTTGTATCTGCAGCTGTGGTAACTAGAGCAGAGCTGGCAACCCGAATGCTGCAACACTACTGACTTCGTGATTGGTAGATAGGTGGAGGGTGGAGAATCAGACCAAAACACAACATGACAGTTGAGGGCTGCAACAACACTTTTTAAATGACAATATCCTGCCCGAACTACTATTGTCAGTGATATAAGTATTTGAAATGAACATGATTTCTTAATGTCTAGTGATACATCAGGGCCATTTTATGATTATTTGAAATAAATTTCTTACATACAGCTCCTTTAAACCCTTTCATAACTAAGAAGGATGTTTTTGACCTGCTTTGTCAGAAAGCCTCATATATCAACTAGCCCCATCAGTGGCTAAAGCAATGGGGCTTAGGCTAGCGAGCCTCCAGTCGTTATTAGGGATGGGTACCGAAACCCGGTATTAAACGGGCCCCGGTGCTGAATTTTGGAAGACCGCTGTATCGATAAGCTCAGACGTTACCGGTTCTGCTGTTGGTACTGGAGAAATTAAGAAAATACACGTAGGCTACTATTTATTATTTCTATAAAGACGTCATCTTGAACATGTTTATCTCGCCAGCCATTTCTATATATAAACTATATTTTAATTAAACCATTTGTCTGTGATTCAAATTTGCTATTCGCAGTTCAGAGAAGAGAGAGAGAGCGATCTCTCACGCGCCACAGCGCGCACAGCACGACAGCCCTTGCTTAATGAGTGACAATGAGGACAGAATTAAACATTCAAACGAGGTTACACTTTAGATCTGGGATATTATTCTAATTTTATTTTAGATTTCGGCTTCCAAAGATTATAAAAAGAAGATATTTAAGATAAAACCATTAAAAATGAGATGTATGATCTGTCCAGCTTAACTTCCTTCACTTCGTCAGTTCTTCCTAAAACCCAAACGTACTGTCAGAATCAGCACAATCGGCGATTGTTGCAAAATGCTGTCTCTACTGTTGCTAGATAAAAAAAATGGCTATTAAAAATACAAAAACTTGTGCAGGAGACGCACAAGCGTATTGCTGTCACTCACAGTTGCGTCAGCACTCTGAGACTGTGGAGCTATCTGGATATGTTCAGCCCAGAAGATCCTTTGGGTATGGTGACACAGCACACCATGGTCTCAACAGACGCGTCAACCTCAGGCTTGGGGAGCAGTTTGCCTGGGCATACCTGCCTCAGGCCTGTGGTCGGAGTCATAGAGGGAGTGGCACATAAACTGTTTGGAATTAGAAGCGGTGTCCTTAGCCCTGGAAGCCTTTCTGTTAAAATTGGAGTGGCAGCATGTACTGATTCGAACAGACAATATGTCTGTGGTCTCGTACATAAATCGCCAGGGCGGCGTGCACTCCAGAGCTCATGTTCAATCAGGCAGCGAGTCTTCTGTTGTGGCTGGACCGACACTTTCTCTCCATAAGAGCGGTGCACATCCCCGGTCTCCTGAACCGTGGAGCAGACATGCTCTCGAGGAACGGGATTCCTCAAGGAGAATGGAGGCTTCACCCCGTATTGGTTCAGGGGGAGGGCGGACGTGGATCTGTTTGCCACAAGCGAGAACATGCACTGTCAGACATTCAGTTTCTGACATCCGCTATCATGGTTTAACTAAAGGTAGAACGTTGTCAAGTTTAGATAATTTAGCAAGACGAATCTGTTCAGAAATGGTGAAACGAGGCCCTAACAAGAGGTCATCTGACCCCTGCGATTAACAGACCATGTCTTTCATAGGACCAAGGTCCCATGAGAGATGAACAACACAGATTTCAACAGGAACTCTGCCTGACCTCAGATTGGAATGTCTTAAACCATAAACTTTACTCACTTTACATATCAAAACCCATAAAACACATCCCAGAACAATTCTTGATGGACTTATAATCAAACATCATGCAACTACATAATTCTGTGTTGTTTCTACAATATATGTTTGTGTCTATTATGCTTAGATCACATATAAATAATGTAATTGTTATAACTATTAGATGTGTGAATGAAAAGTGTATCGTGTTTCCTATCAGTAAGATCATATGTTCTTAATTCAAAAGATGGCTTGATTGAAATCTGTGTAAAATGTTTTGTATCCTAATACTCATAGTAATAAACTATTAAAACTAAACTGTGGTCTCTTGTTCTCTCTACTAGTGCTGGAGAGCAAGGAGATCACAGATAACGCATGATTTACGATGAGAGTTGAAGGAAATACCACCTCACAGCATCTAATTGGTCGAACTCATCCAGGAGGCTGGACAAATTTGAGTTAAAATCTTAGACCCAAACAAAGGTTTGTGCGTTCGTCATTAAAGAATCGTCATGAGGAATCATCTGAGAGTTGTTGCTTAGAGTTATCTGAGAGTTACAGAAGTAATGGAGAAGCCATGACGGGTAACCGGACAGACCAGTAACAATGTAGACTAGCAGACAAAGAACCCAAACAAGATCAGGAGAACATCCATGGGTTTAAAGCAGCTTCCATTCAAAGCCAT